TTTAGCGTTTGACTAGATTACAGCGCTTCTATTTTGCGAGCTAGTAGTAGTGTCTCCATTATACGCTTTCCTTTGATAATTGCAAAATTTAGAGAAAAGATTTCAAGAAACGATAGCACCTCACCTCCCAAAGCATCTACATTTACTTGAAACAATAGAATTTGAGCTTTTGTATAAATTATTTTCAACAAACACGACTTGCGTATGAAAAAAATGCACTCTGTCCAGTAAAATGAGCATCACACATTTTCTTATAAACTTTTGAAAAATTTATGTCATTATGTCGTAAAATAGCAGAGTTGTTGACTGATATGATACTAGGTTTCATGAAAATATGCATAGAAGTGCATGTCTTTTTGAAATTACCTATCATATCGATAGCTGGGAGATGTATTAGTTACATATATTATACTGTACATATTCCTTTACCGGCCAGGATTGATCCCATATTGGCAGCATAACGGAGTTTATGCCAGTTTTCCATCGAGCAAGTCAATTGTGTCATTGCAGAAGAATATATTAGACTAAACCTAAGAAAAAATGTATATTCACGTTCAGGAACGTTACTGCAGGCATCCATTCCCTCCATAACGTTTGGATAAGTGAGGGAGTGTTGTTATGCATTGTGTAACCATCGTGATCATATGATGTGAGAAGTACATTTCAATCTCTGATTTAGATAGAGGTATTCTCAAAATGTGGCTTTACCCCTCAAAAGCTTTTATTATTCAACCTTCGTTTTTTCATCTTTCTTTACAAGGATTTTCTTCCAACAAAATGGAATGCATTTTACGAAAGCTATTTGCTAAGTTTTATGCGCTCGATAGTTCGGTTTGTATCATCTGCAGTATGTTACATGTGTCATTTCACTCCTTCAAATTTACGGTCACAGGCGTTACTTCGCTTTGGCACTATGTGTCAGGCCTCAATCTAATTTTCTTTTTCCAAAGTGCGTGATAATTTTAGGTCATTTCATTGTATGTATGCTCCGATAGAGAACGAATAACCACCGTTAAATGAATGTAATCAAATCATAGAAATCACTTTCCATGACGGCTTTGTTACTACTACGTT